AGGTGATCATCGCGGCCGCTTCGCCACCGCGACCGCAAGGTGTTCGACCTTTTGCCAACAAAGGTATGGACAGTGGAGACGAGTTTTTCTTCAATCACTTCCTTTGTTCATCGGATGATTCGTCGTCGGATGATGAAGATCTTGTGGTGGCTGCACCGGTCGTTCACGACCATATTCAACGGCAGCTTCCTCAGTACAGGGGGTCACTCCCTGGTCGTGCTCCCAATCTGAACCGCAACAGGGAGAGAGGCCACGCCCTGCTCTATGCCGATTACTTTGCCAACACCCCGCTCTTCAAGCCGGATAAATTTCGTCGCCGTTTTCGTATGGCAAGGCATGTGTTCAATCGTATTCGAGAGGGAGTGGTTGCTCATGACCCATACTTCGAGTGCAAGACGGATGCCCTTGGCAAGTTTGGATTCTCCTCTTACCAGAAATGCACCGCGGCCATCCGCATGCTTGCATATGGTATTTCAAGCGATCTGGTGGACGAGTATGTGCGTATGAGTGAGACAACATGTTATTCAGTCTTCGCGAGGTATCAACATGCTGCAACGTTCTCCAGTCTTCGCGAGGCTTGCAGAAGGAAACTCCCCACCGGTCAATTTTGAGATCAACGGCCACCAGTACAACAAATGATACTATCTAGCAGATGGTATATATCCTCAGTGGTCAACTTTTGTGAAGATAATCTCGAAACCCCAAGGTGAGAAGAGAAAGAGGTTTGCCCAAATGCAAGAGAGTGTTAGAAAGGATGTTGAACGTGCTTTTGGCGTGCTTCAATCCCGGTGGGGTATCGTTCGAAACCCTGCACTGTCATGGGATGAAAAAAAGTTTTGGAAGGTGATGACTGCTTGTGTGATCATGCACAACATGATCGTCAAGGACGAGCGTGATGAGAGTATCTTCGACCAAGGATTTGATTATCAAGGTGAAAATATTGAGCCCCTGCACCAAGACCCGGCCACATTTGAACAGTTTGTCCAATTCCACCGTGAGATGCGTGATTGACACACTCATTTGAATCTTCAAAATAACTTGGTTGAGCACGTCTGGGATCACATTGGCAACCAATAGATGTATTGGTCCAATTTATGTTCAGTCAAGACAATTTCGATTTGGTTGTAAAACTATTTTATTTAAGACAATTTTAATTGGGTTGTAAAACTATTTTAATTTTCAGACAAATATTTTGGTTGGAAGTAGTTTGATGCAAATTTAGGCATTTTTGGCCTTCACGGATAGGATGTGGCAAATGGATGCGACCGCGCGCTGGGCGCACGGCCACCGCATTCTAGGACAGGCCCGGACACGACCCCAAACCCCTACCCAAACGAACAGAATCCGGGCAAAACGAACGTCCGTTTGGGATCGTGCGGTGAAGTTGACGTGAGGGACGGGAACCGGAGCGGCAGCGCATATATAGGCGGGGAGCGAGTGATGACTTGTGGGGGCGACGAAGGCGCCGTCGACGTCAGCCGCAGCTGTGGGACATACCAACGGAACGAAGAAAAACGAGTCGCCGGCCAGGGCCTAACCGAAGTGGGAAGTCGCCGGCTTCCTGTGCTGGGAGGTGGCGACTTGTCAAGGGGAGCAGCCGAGCAGAGAGCGGTTGCTCTGCTTTGTTTCTGTCCGGTGGCCGTGGGTGCTGTGCTCTGATCCTGCCGAGAAGGCGAGAATTTTGTCCGTTCGGTTCCTTCTCTCTTGTTAGATCCTGCGACATACACGGAAAAGTTGGCCAGAAAACGTCAGGCCGTTACCGGCACCAGCACACGTCATGAGCGCTCTCGCTCTCGCTAGTGCTCAAGCATGAAAAAGGGAACAAAAAAGAAAGAAAGAGAGAGAAAAGCAAGCGGGAACAACGAAGTAGGCTGCCCCTGCAGACTGCAGCGCATAAACGAAGAGACGCCAGAGTCCGGCGCAAGATCGGGATCCTGGAGTTCGTTGTCATGTGAGGTCCTCGTCTCTATCATCCGATCAGTCACAGCGTGCATGATTGTGGTGTATTGTCTCCTCTTTCGCGCAATGCCGAGAGATGATTTGTGTGCTTGCTTGCGGACCTGCTCGTCCTCGCCGTTCGCTCCACGCGCGCAACCGTTGGCGTTGCCGGTGGGCGCGACAGAATCAGCCAGCACGGCGAGCTCCTCACGATGGCCGCATTTTCAGTTGCGTGCGCTTCCAACTCGTGGTGCTACTGCTAACTGCCTAGCTAGCGTGCATTCCAGAACGCCGGTCCCGCGTACGACGACCAGCGGCGAGAGCCTTTCCCGGCTACGTACGCTTGTGGCTTTTCTGCAGCAATCATCTTAATCACCTCATGATTGCTGTCACCAACTATTGATTTGATTAGGCAGAAACTTTTGTCCTCACGCCCTCGATCACAGGACTCACGAGGATCAGATTATCCGGAATCGCAGCGCCCAAGCAAAGAGAGGAAGGGACCTATATCTCGCTCGACCTGACATGGAAGAAAGTCTCGCCACCAGGATTTCCTGTGAGCTACAGTATTGGGCCAGCCCATGTTCTTGCATCGCTCTCGCTTGCCGCGGGTTCCCTGTTGCTTCGGTTTCCTCTGTTTCTCTTCTTTTTCGTTTTTCCACGTTTTTGTTCTTCTGTTTTTTTCCTTCATCGTTTCTTTGTTTTTCTGTTTTAACGGATTTTTCCATTTCTTTCACGGTGTTTACTATTTTTTCCTTCTCCTTCCTTTTCTTTTACTTTTTGTTTCTTTCTCTGTTTCCAATGTTTTCTTTCCTTTCTTTTATTTTCCTTCTGTTTTCTTTGTTTCTTTCTTGGTTTTTATCGTTTTTCTTTGTTTCTTTCTCGGTATTCACTGTTTTTATTATTTTGCATTGGTTTTAATCGGTTTTTTTGTTTTGTTGTTTCTTCTGTCTATTTCCATTGGTTTTTTCCTTTCTCTTTCCGTATAGGGCAGGAATGTATTTTTGTAAACGTTTAACATTTTTTCTAATTATATAAAACATTTTCCGTATACATCTGAAACATTTTTAACAACATGATTAACATTCTTTTCAAACATATAGTTACATGTCAACCTTTTACATACACATTCAACATTTTTTGTATACAACAGAAACAATTTTTATATACAAAATTAACATTTTTCAAATACATGATCTACATTTTTTAAAACTTATACTTTTTTATGTCTACCTTATTTGCATACACATTATACACATGCAACTAGGACACGCTGCCAAAAGTTAGCTTACTCGTCACTCCGTTGCCCCCCCCCCTCCCCCACACCGCGCACACACACACCCTAAACACCCTCATCGAAGCAAAAAAGAAAACTAGCAATACAACCGAGGCAACGAAGCGCACTACCTTCTAATTTTCATTATTTCTCATTCAGCTAGTTGAACCATGGGATAACAACAAAAATTGAACCAATGATTACATTAAATATTTTGCATTGTCACATTTTGCTATGAATTTAACTCATAAACCAATACACTATCTGGCAAGTTTCCTCATTTCAGATTTTTACGGGATTTACAAACATGGATAACTTCCAACAAGCAAAGTTATTCGTCTTGACAAGACACACAATTTTTATGTTGAGGACATCCATTTTGGATCATCCTAGGGACGATTTCTTGAAATTAAGGAAAATCAGCTCCCTGTTGCTCTCTGTTTTCACACTAGAAGTGCCTCCAACTATCGCACAAAGTCCATGACCCTACAAAGTACAAAAATAAGTTAACAAGATGTACGCTTTATGTAAACAAATAAAAGAAATGATTTAAAACGTCTTATATTTGTTTACGAAGGAAGTAATAACTAGTAGTAATGGAAAAAATGTTACTAGCCCATCAATTTTTTTTGGGAAAAGACATTCAAAGAGCATCTTAGATTTGTTAACTAAAACAATAGGTAAATAGCCAATACAATGGAAAAACAACTAGACGCAAAACGCTCAGTATAGAAAATAAAGTTACATTGAAAATCATGTTAGCCTTCTTTATTAGATTGTCCGCAGTCCGCCAGAGATTGAAAATTACATTGAACCAAGAGTGAAGGAAAAGGAGAAATCACTAAAGAAAAATCGACTAGAGCATCACCCATGCATCATAGATTTGAAGCCCACCACCATGTCATAGAATAACACAAAAACAAGATGATGAAGTGGCCGCACCAAAAGTCAGCCAATTGTTCTCCTTGATAGACAAACCAACTACCAAGATCTGAAGAGGGCCAACAAATCTAGCGACACAAACTCTCAGATGCCCTTTGCCGGTGCCAAATCGAACATCATTGAGGTGGGAAGATGCCAAAGAAAGCTTATTCCAACACACCATCACCTCAGGGAAACAAAGCCTAAGGAAAAGAAAAATAAAAAGTTTATCTATACCTACTAATAAAAAAAGGTGATATTCTTAGTCCATCATTAATATTTGTAGAAAAGTCCCTATGTTTTTTTGGTTTGTGTATTAAGCCTATTTTCCTTACGTAAGTCACGTCGCCAATTCATTTCCTTCCCGTTTTTGTTTTCTTTGTAGAAGTCCCTCACGTACCCGTTTCGCTTGCTCTCGTTATTTAATCCACTAGGACATGATCGGAAAGAGAGAGGGAGGCAACTCCACGCATGATTCCCTAACGACCCTAACCACATTGGCGACATCTGCGCCTCTGGCGATCACCCACCCCGACTGCCACGATTTTCAGGTGTTTGTCTCAAATAGCACGCTCCACCAGACCGGAGCCCCTCAACCTTAGCTCCCACACAAGTCGATGAGAAGGATGCGGTGGTTGGAATCGGGAAGGCAGGCGGCGATGAATAAAGAGACGATGGTGCTCCCCAGCGGAAAGGAGGTCGCATGTTGAGTCCAAGCCATTCATTCATCGAGCCCGGCCCATGGAGATCACCTGATGGTACTGGCGGCACTTGCCATGATAGCTGATTCACGGTGATCTGCTCTTGCGAATTAGTCATCATGAGCATGCTTTTTTGAAACAAGCATCATGAGCATGCTTGTGGCATGGCAAAAATGACGTGGTGCGTTGAGGAGGTAAAAACACACTTAATTATTTCCTGTTTTTTCATGCCCATTTTTGCAGTCATGACATCATTTTTGTATTATATTGTATACTCGTTGCATAGAACGTCTTTTGTTTAAAGAACAACCCTCTGTACCCAAAAAGGGGAAAGTATCGAGTGCTCTTATGGTGCTCCCGGTGCTCCAATGTCAAAAACACACTTTTAAATGTTTCAAAATATTTCTAAAAAAATGTGAATGTTTGCAAGGAATGTGACTACAACCTCTAAAAATTTTAGGTCCAAATTCGAAATGCACACTGAAAAAAAAGTAAAATCTAGCATGAATAGTGTAAAAAAGGACAAAACAACATTTAACACTATTCACATCTTGATTTGCCTTTTTTGTTTTTTAATGTGCATTTCGAGTTTTGACATGAAATTTTTAGGTGTTGTAGTCACATTCCTTATGAACTTCCACAAAAATTTCGATTTTTTTAAAAACATTTAAAAAATACATTTTTAACATTGGAGCACCCGATACTTTCCCACCTCAAAATGAAAAAGAGAAAGAACAACCCTCTGTGTAATTCACACCATGTCCTTTGGTCTATACTTAGACTCCGAACCGAAACTGGCGGGCGAGAACCGAGGAGTCCCCAAGCCACGCCACTCCACCCCAATTTCCTTGTGAGAGCCGAGGACGCAAGCGAGAGCGGAGGAGCCACATCCGGATCTGCATCCTGCCGCTCAACTCGACCGCGCGTTCACGCCACAGGCAGGACTCAGGAGGAAGAGAATCGATGGTGCACGGAACGCTGGAGGTGCTGCTCGTCGGCGCCAAGGGCCTCGAGAACACCGATTACCTCTGTGCGTACGCATCAACTAATCCATCCTTTGGCTTTGTGAACCCTAATAGTCTTTTAAGATGGCGATTACTTCTAGGGTTCGTTAATGCCGCCGCGCGTGGTACCAGTGCGGACGGACCATTCTGTTTTCCTTCGATCGGGACGTTGCCGTTCGTGCTATTAATTAATCGCCTCGCTAGAATTTTGATCGATCGGGTCGACTGATTATCCGTATTAAATCGCCGTTTCGGCCAGGCCGTGCCGCCATCCGTGGAAATGATGAGCACCGAGGAAATGTTTCCTGCATCTGTTGGTTGTTTTTCCCATCATTTTTGTAAGGACTCTGATGATGATGATAAGTTGCTTCTCGTTGACAAATTGGGTGCAGGCAATATGGATCCGTACGCACTTCTCAAATGCCGCTCGCAGGAGCAGAGGAGCAGTATTGCATCAGGTGGATACGCTCTTCGATTTGTTCCTTTTCCTTACCATTGATTCTGTCATTCATCTTTCATGTACTGCTAATATAGGTTTCAAGTTTGATGATTATTTTTGCATTGCTAGACAAACAGGTATAACTTGTGGTTCTAACAATCTAGTGAGACTGAGGTGTTTGTTTTGGAGTTTTTTCTCCATAACCCGTTTACAACGTCTTAAACCTCCGCATGTGTTTACCGAGAAAGGCTTTCGCCCTGCTTTTTATATATAAAGCACCGATCAACAACACCCGATACAAATGCACGCCCCCACAACACACACACCCAAGGCAGGATACATAGGCGCTGAGCGCAACAACACCATTCCTAGCACTACGCGAAGAGGTGAAGCTGCATATGACAAACCGTGGGCTCCAAGGCGGTGCCTTTAGGAAGGGGACGACACCGGAGCGCCACCACCGCCCGATCCGAGGATCATAGTTTCCCCTGGAGCAACAAGACGGGCAATGAGAGCCGCGACGACGCCTTCAAGAAGGGAACGAGTTTCGCCGCCGTCGGTCCGTCCGAAGAAGAGCAGGTTTTCACCCCGGCCACCATTCACCGCCACCGATTGCCACACCCCGGCTACCACGCCGCCCACACGGCCGTGGCAACTGGGCAGCACCAAGCCACGGACTCTGCCCATGAGCACCGCGGACCCACCACCAGGGCCACCGCCCCAGCATCTAAGACCTTAACACCACCTCACCCGAGCTCTACCGCTACCCCAACCAAAGACACGAGCGGAAAGGACCCGCCTTTCGCACCCCTGTGCTGCCCCCAGTGTCGAGACCCAATTTGCCGGCCAAAACTGGCCTCCATCGACCCGTCCCGCGGCACCGGGCGCGAGACGAGCTTGGTCCTGCTGCCGGGCGTGAGACGAGCATGGTCCTGCTGCCGGGCGCGAGACGAGCTCGGTTCTGCTGAGGCGAGTGATGGACCGCAACTGGGAGGGCCAACCCTACGACCAAGCTAGCGGCCGAACTACGAGATGAGGGATTGAAGGTTGAACCGAGCCGCCTACAGATGAGCCGACGCTGGCAATCCAACCGCCATCGTAGCCGACCCGCCGAGCTGCCGTGATGCCGGCTCGGCGAATGGAAGCTTCCAAAGAGTCGAGCCCCCTCGCCGCCGCGGCCCATAGCCGGAGCAGCAGCCACGCCGGGCCGCTACCCTAATCCGCGCCGCCCACCGGAAAAGTTGCGTCATATCTGGCCGGCACGCATCCACCTCAGCCGGCCAGAGCCTAGCCAGCACGCCATCCGCGCCCGACCAGGAGCAGCCCGACGCGCCACCACCACCACCCTCCAGTGCCGTCGGTCGCCGAAGACGCCACCAACCACCACCGACCGGATCTGGGCATGAAACCCCAGATCCGTAGCCTACACGTCCCGCCTCGGCCACGAGCACACAACAGCGAGCTAGGGCGCAAAGGGAGAGAGGCCACACCAGGAGAGGCCCCCAGCCGGCGGGGAGGAGGTCGGAGCCAGTGACGAGAGCCGCACCACGCCATGGCAAGGAGGGCGAGCCCCGCATCGCACCACGCCAGCCATGGAGGGAAAGCAGCCCCGCCGCCGCCACGCGGGCTTTGCCCAGCGGCGGCGGTGAGGGGAGGAGGGGCGGGAGGAGAGGCCTTTGGCCGGCGGCGGAGAGGGGCTCTCCCGGGTCGCCCGCGGGGGAGGGGGGGCGGGACACGGTAGACCTAATAAGAGTCACACCACCTCTGCATGTGTTTTGGTAAACCTAGGCCGTAATCAGATGCTTTGTTAACGGATCCCACTGCTATTCACGGATGAGACTGCTCATCCGTATTGAATTGCGTTACTGAACGGTGGAAAAAGTTTGTCGCGCCTTCTCTGCATGTCACCCCTCGTGGAGCCGTCCTCTCCTCAGCAAGACGATGTGCTCTATCCTCTGGGTGGTCTGGAAGTCCATGAACTGGATGGTGTTCGATAACATTCGTACCTT